GTGCACCTTTCCCAGGCATCGTTGGAATGACGCAACCCCTTGCCCGGCTGACAAGGGCAGATCCGAAGCCCAGTAACGCAGCTTCTCCCGTGAACGAATTCTCTAAACCCTAAACCCTAAACCTTAAACCCTAAACCCTAAACCGTTTCCGAAGGAGACGGCGCTCCACCTGACCGAGACCATCCAGACCCGGAAGGCAAACGGCCACCGCCACGAGCACTGCACAGCAACAAGGACAACGACGAACACCTATAGCACGGCTCCCTACATAATCGCCCACAGTCCACTGACAAAGCCCTTGATTCTGACTTTTCTTTCGCCCCGCTCCCCCAAAGAGGCCGAATCGGATTTGGTCACGGCGAACAGCTGCCTCGGTACTCAGACGCAAGCAGCGAAGTGGCGGAGAGCGGGAGCACTGCTGCAGAAGGCTCGGGGGAGGAAGGGTTTAGGGTTTAGTAGCCCCTGGGCTTCAGGGTTTTTGAACTCGAGCTTTTTGGGGATTCGGAGGCTTCAGTGGCCAGTCGGCACGGTGCGACTGGGGTTCTGTCATGTCATGAAGTGCTCTTGCCCCATAGGTCTCTTGGAAGGGGGGCCTGCAGGCGTAACGTTGTTGCCTTGTTGGGACGTCGCCTTGGGTTGAGAGCGTAATGGGGCCACATGGATGTTCTTAAGGACTTACCTCTGTGTTGAGTGCCTTAAAATCAGAACCTTCACGAACTGTCGCATGTCGTCGAGATGCACTGACTTGGGGGCTTCTCGGCCTCCGTGCTGCAACTCCAATCACCGCCGAGCCGGGAACCCCTCAGTCGCTTTGCTGACAGGTCTTCGAGAGTCAGCTCCAGGCGGATGTCATCTCTTTCAGCAGCGCAATCAGCGCCTGCGAGCAGCTCGGCAATCGTGGCTCCTCGAGCCCCTAAGCCCGGAACGCCGGAAGAAGAAGTAAAGCCTAGAAACAAGATATGCGTTCAACTCGAAGCACCCTGAAGGCTGTAGGTAGCCCTTCGGAAACTTTGCAGCTGCGGTTGTCATGGCAGTGCGATCGTTGGAGCCTCTTCTAAATGTTTTTTCGTTTTTACGGTCGTAAAACTGCTTCTGTACAAGAAGGACACCCCACAGTCAAAACAGACTATACTGCATTGAATGCTGTCGAATTTCGAGTCCAGTAGTGAAGCCGATGATGCAGCACAGGAAGGGTGGAAGCTGGGACACTGCCTTGCAGCTTCTGGCGGAGATGTGCCAAACGCAGGCCTATGGTCGTGGGATGTATTTATTGGTGACGATGGTGAATAATAATAATAGTAACAATAATAATAGTAGTAATAACAATACTAATTTAAAGAATAACAATAATAATGATAATAATATTTTTGCACGATCCAGGATGATGGTGGCAAGCGTTATCTGTGCCATCACCGGTGTTCAGAGGTGGCGGGGGTATTCACACAGCAATAGGACTGACGACGCTTAGAACAGTGGTGCTGTTAGAACGGCAATGCGACGGTAAGAACAGCAAAAGCGGAACATGCAAGAATTGCAAGCGGAAGAGAGCAAGCAAGAGCAGATCAAATGTTCGTATAGCGACCACTATGAACACTAAGGGTAGTAAGAGCAGCAACACTAGTCAGAACTGTAGGCACAGTGGCAAGGAGAAGATCAGCGATGGTGACAGCAACATGAATTTTGACAAGAGCAGCAACATCAAGATAATTAATTACGATATTGTTTATTCTGTTACAACAAGCTTTATCATAATGAAGATTATCGCATTGATGCCCGCGCCCCACTCCTAGCGGAAGAGTATGGTGTATGCCGTTACCCGTCTTGCTGCCACCCTCACCGGAACTACTAACAGATTCCTTCGTCGTCTTCTAACCGCCAGTCGCGGCCTGGGAGGTCCTGCCAAACATTGTCACCTACAACAGCGGCCGGGCTTGCAGCACTGGGCTTCATCGCATCCCTCGTACGTTCAGCCCCTTTTTGTCGGTTGCTTTCTTATTCTGAGACATACCGAGGCACAGTCAGTTCTCTTGCCCGGGGTGGGTGCTGGCGGCTGGCTCTGTGGCTCGTGGTTGCCTGGATGCATCTTGGGTGTGGGAATTGTGTAGGGCTTGGGGTTGTTTGTGCACAAACCTCCATTCTGAACCCATACCCTAAACCCTAAACCCTAAACCCTAAACCCCAAACCCCAAACCCCAAACCCAAACCCTAAAGCTTACGCATTAAATCCTATGCACTTGCCGGACTGCTGGCCTGCTCAAGGGGGCTCCCTGGCTGCAGGAACTTAACCAAAAACCTCCAAGACCCTCAACCGACAGCCCTCCACCCTAAGCCCTAAACCCTTAACCTTTAAGCCCCCAAACCCTGAAAGGCTTAACACTTAAGCCCTTAAACCCCCAAACCCTGAAAGGCTTAAACCCTAAGCCCCTAAACCCCAACACCCTAAGCCATCAACCCAAGAGCCGTAAGCCCTGCACCCAAGAGCCCCAAACCCAAATCCGACCGCAGGTGGACGTCTTCATGGGCGGAGACCATGCCATTGTCGCGGAGCTGGGAAAGCCGCTGGGATTCTCCAGTTCGCCTTTCGTGTAAAGAGAGAAACAGAGAGAGAGACAGCGAGAGAGAGAGAGAGAGAGATTGATTCTATAGAGAGAGAGAGAGAGACAGAGGGAGATTGATTGTATATATATATATATAGAGAGAGAGAGAGAGAGAGAGATATAAAGGGCGAGATAGACACGTGGATGGATAGATAGATAGGTACGCAGATAAATAGATTCACACATGCTTGGTTCTGTTGCTGGACTGTGCTAGGAAGAAGCAGCGCCGACCGAAGTCAGTGGGTCCTGCGATGCGCGGAATCTCTTACACCATGGAGTCCTTAAAGCCAAGAGGGCCGAAAGACCCTAGACCCTGAACCCTAAACCCTAAACCCTAAACCATACAGAACACCGCTGCACCATCTGGACCCGAAGCCCTAAACTTATCATGACCTCCGGACCCTTTGCTAAAACCCCTCGAATACGCCTGACACCTTAAACGTTTAAGCCTAAGCGCTCAACCGCAAACCAGACTGAAAACCTTCAATGCTAAAACTCTAAACCTTCTGAGGCCAACCTACACCTTGAGCCGTAAACCCTAACCCCCAAATCTACACCCTAAACCCCCAATCTGAAACCCGAAACCCTAAGCTCTAAACCCTAAGCCCTAAACCCTAAGCTCTAATCCCTAAGCCCTAAGCCCTAAGCTCTAAACCCCTTTTAAAGACGCCGCCGCCATTTTTTGAGGAACCAGACGCAGCTGGCCCCACCCTCCAGCCTCGATCGGGCCCGCACAGGCGCTCGATGGTGGGGCGTTTTTTTTTTTTGTTTTTGTTTTGGGGGTTTAGGGTTCAAAAGTCAAGGGTTTAGGGCGTATGGTTTAGGGTTTAAAAGTTTGGGGTTTTTGTTAGAGTTTGGTAAGGGTTTAGGGTTGGGAGTGCTTTGAGTTTTGAATTTTTGGGGTTAAGACTAGAGTTTCCACTCAAGGTGTAGCAATCGGAGGGGTTTGAGTAAAGAGTAATCTGGCCCCCCTCTCACTGCAAGCCTTCTCAATGAAGCTGAGTAAGTGATCTGGACCCTTTTGGTCTTATGCCATCGGCCATACTCAAGACATTTTCTTGTCTGGCTTGACATAACCCTACACCCTACACCCTAAACCCTAAACCCTAAACCCTAAACCCTAAACCCTAAACACCACAATGAAGAGAAGTCTACCTACACTGAATCCCCTCTGGCCTAAGCCCTGAACCGTCGACTCCTTCACGGTTCAAAGGGAAACCCTGGTTGAGCTAGCGAATCCGGTAGCTGCCCCGAGGGCTTTAAACTAGGGCCCTAAGAATTCGAACAGGATTTCGAGGTCCATCATGGTGTTTGGTTTATTTTCCATAGTTTTTTGAAGATTACAGTATAACAACATATTATAGCCATATTGTAATGGTGACTGTAGGGGAAGATTGTTCTCGACCTAAACCTTAAACCTTAAAGCCTTGGTTACATTAAAACATTAAACCCTAAACCCTGAACCTTTAACCCTAAACCCTAAAGCTTAAACCCTAAATCCTAAACCTTAAACCCTAAATCCTAAACCTTAAACCCCTGAACCCCTAGTGTTGAGTTTCACATGCAGTGTGTGTGCTGCATTGTCAGTAGGCGGTCGGAAAGGGCATGTCAACACACATGTAAAAGACACCTGAGACCCTATACCTGCGGCCTTAAACCCTAAACTTGAAACCCCAAACCTCAGACCCTAAACCCTAAACTTAAAACCCTAACCCTTACACCCTAAACCCTAAATCTCTAAACCTATGGATTGGATCTTCGGGGGGGGGGAAAAGGGGCTCAACAACAAAAAAGCTTAGGCCCTAAACCCTAAACCCCTAAACCCTAAACCCCCAAAGCTTAGACCCTAAACCCTAAACCCCTGAACCCTAAACCCCCAAAGCTTAGACCCTAAACCCTAAGCCCCTAAACCCTAAACCCCCAAAGCTTAGACCCTGAACCCTAAACCCCCAAAGCTTGGACCCGAAACCTTCTCCCAGGTGCACCGGACTCTGCAGCTCCGACGCTTGGAGTTCCACCTTCCCTGGTGCGAGCAACTTCAGATCCCCGAGGCCACCCACATGCCCATGGACCCCAAACCCTGCAGCCTAAGCCTCAAAGCCAAAATCCTTAATTCGAGAGTTACAACCCGAACCCTAAACCATAAGCCCCTGAACCGTAGACCCGATAAGTTTAACTTGAATCTCGAACCCCAGCCCTACGGATGCTACTCAAGCTCATGCGATGCAATTTGTTACCCGAAGCCGAATCAGATACCCTAAACCATAAACCCGAAACCCTTACAAGCCAAAAGCCCGCAAACCCCTATAAACCCCTATAAGCCCCTATAAACCATTATAAGCCCTAAACCCCAAATCCGTTTGCAATGCAGGAGGCGCCCTCGCCTTGCCCGGCAAGGCCCCGATGCTGAAGCGGGAGATCTCCAAGAAGCCCGAGATCACGCAAGGACTCCCAGGGTTTCGGGTTTAGGGTTTGGGGTTTAGGGTTTCGACTCCTAGGTAGTGTTAGGGAGACCGCTTACAGGGGACGGTTCTTAACCCTACTTCTGGCTCTCTTAGAAGAGACCTTATTGAGAGGGACTAGATCCCCAGGGGTCCCCCGAATCTCAACCCTTATGGCCGGAAATATAGAACCCTAAACCCTAAACCCTAAACGGCCATGTTAAATTTCCAAAGGCACGGGGTTGCCTTGCCAAGATTAACAAGCCTGGTTCAGAAACACTCGAACAACAGGGCCCATGTTGAGAACCCCAAGCCCGAAACCCCTGCAAACCCTAAGCCCTAAACCCCTATAAACCCTAAACCCTAAACCCCAAACCCCTATAAACCCCAATTCCTAAACCCCTATAAACCCCTATAAACCCTAAACCTAAACCCCTATAAACCCAAAACCTAAGCCCCTATAGACCCTATAAGCCCTAACCCCCAAACCCCTATAAGCCCTAAACCCTAACAAGAACTCTGGGTTTCCTGATCACGCAGGAGCTGAAAGTTCTGGTCCCACTTGGAGCCCTTCTGAGAAACCTGAAACCAGAAGCAGCATCTTGCTGTAAATCCCAAGAATGCTTAAAAACCCTTAAGCACCCGACTAAGCCGCCAAAAGCGCTGAAAATCCCAAAGCCTAAACCTAAACCCCAAACCCTAAACGCCCCCAAAAGCGCTACAAAACCCAGAAAAGCCATGAGCGACTCGGAGGAGAGCGCGACACCATCTCGAACAAGCTGCAGGTTTGGGGGCGGTTTGGGGTTTGGGGTTTAGGCTTGTGCTTCTGGCTTGCGACCATAAGAGGTGCAAGAAGGCTTACTGTAAGGGTTTCTAGGCGGGCTACTGTAAGGGTTGGGATTGAGGGGTTTTGGTTTTTTTCAGACCCTAAATCCTAAACCCTAAACCCTAAACCCTAAACCCTAAACCTTCAGACAGGGCTGTCCCTGGGCGAATCCGGCCCTGGCAGGACCGCGTGGCGCGGAGAAAGCTGGAGGAGGAGAAGGAGAAGGAGCACATCGCGGTGGAGGAGGACCCAGGGACCCGACCTGACGTCTTAGTTCAGGCTTTAGGGTTTAGGGTTTAGGGTTTAGGGCTTAGGGCTTAGGACTTAGGGTTTAGGGTTTAGGGTTTAGGGTCTAGTAATAGGGTTTAGGGTTTAGGGTTTAGGGTCTATCTTGGAATCTATCTATCGATCTACACATACATATGAAGGTCTTGTGATCGTCTTTTGGTTTCCATAGTATCTGCTCAGGGGACGTGTAATCAAACAAGACGCACGATCAGATGTAGCAAAGGCCCAAAAACAGCAGCGAGTCAACCGAGTCCTTCAGGGAGTTCTGGCGCTGATTGCTCTTAAACCCTAAGCCCTAAACCCTAAGCCCTAAACCCTAAACCTTAAACCAAAACCCTAAGCCCTAAACCCTAAACCTTAAACCAAAAAGCCTAAACCCTAAGCCCTAA